TCCTTATTCCTTTTATTTTTCTCTCGTCAAATTGCTCTGGCTAATGTTTCCAGCACTATATTGAATAGGAGTGGTGACAGTGGACACCCTTGTCTTGTTCCTGATTTTAAAGTGAAAGCTTTCAGTTTTTGTCCATTTAGTATGATGTTAGCTGTTGGTTTGTCATAGATGGCTTTTATCAGAGTGAGGTAAAAACCATCTATTCTGATTATCTGTAGGGTTTTTATCATGAATGAATGTTGGACTTTATCAAAAGCTTTTTCTGCATCTATTGAGATGATTGTGTGACTTTTGTCTTTGGCTCTATGGATATCGTGTATTACATTAATTGATTTGCATATATTGAATCATCCCTACATTTCTGGGATGAATCCCACTTAGTCGTGATGTATAATCTTTTTGATGATTTGTTGCATTTGGTTTGCTAATATTTTATTGAGAATTTTTGTGTGTATGTTTATTAGGGAGATTGGCCTGTAGTTCTCTTTTTTGGCTGAGTCTTTCTCTGGTTTTGGTATCAGGGTAATACTTGCCTCCAGGAATGAGTTCGGGAGAATTCCTTCCCTTTTAATTTTATTAAAGAGTTTGAGAAGAATTGGCATTAAACTTCTCTAAATTTCTTGTAGAATTCAGCTGTGAATCCATCAGGACCTGGACTTTTCTTTGCTGGTAAGTTTTTTATTACATTTTCAATTTTGTTGGCTGATATTGAGTTATTCAGGATTTTTATATCTTCTTGATTCAACTTTGGTAATTCATGTGTATCTAGGAATCTGTCCATTTCCTCTGTTTTTCCTCCTATGAGAGTAAAGATTTTCAAAGTAGGTACCAGTGATCTTCTGAATTTCTATAGGATCTGTAGTGATTTCACCCTTTTCATTCCTTATTGCATGAATTTGAGTTTTTTCTTTCCTTTTTTTGATAAGGTTGGCTAGGGGTTTATCAATTTTATTTATTCTTTCAAAGAACCAACTCTTTGATTCACTAATTCTTTGTATTGTTTTCTTAGTCTCCATTGTGTTAATTTCTGCTCTGATCTTCATAATTTCCTTTCTTTGGGCTTTGGGCTTGACTTGCTCTTCTTTTTCTAGAAGCTTCAGGTATAGCATAAGATTGTTTAATTTGTGCTTGTTCTGTGTTTTCCTGATGTGGGAATTTACTACTATAAATTTTCCTCTGAGGACTGCTTTCACTGTATCCCACAGGTTCCTGTAAGTTGTATCTACATTTTCATTTGATTGTAAATATTGTTTAATTTCTGCTTTAATTTCATCTGTGATGCACTGGTTGTTCAGGAGGGTGTTATTTACTTACCATGTGTTTACGGAGTTCTTGCTATTTATTTTGTCAGTAATTTCCGATTTCATTGCACTATGGTCAAATAGTATGTAAGGTATAATTTCAATTCCTTTGCATTTACTTAAGCATGTTCTAGGTGCTAGTATATGGTCTATTTTAGAATACAACCTGTGTGCAGCTGAGGAGAATGTGTATTTAGACGTTGTTGAGTAGAACACTATGTAAAGATCTACTAAGTCCATTTGTTCACAAGTTTGGTTTAATTCTGTTATTACTTTGCTGATTTTTTGTCCAGTTGATCTATGTCTTTGTGACAATGGGCTGTGAAAGTCCCTGTTATGATTGTGTTACTGTTTATTTCATTTTTCATGTCTGTTAAAATTTGTCTTATGTAGTTGGGTGCTCCTGTGTTTGATGCATAGATATGTATAATATCTCTTCCTCTTGCAGTTTTCCCCTAAGAAGTATGTAGTGACCTTCTTTATCTTTGTTGCTCATTCTTGACTTCAAGTTGACATTGTCTGCAAACAGAATAGCTGCCCCCACTTTTTTCTGGGTTCCCATTGCATAGTGTATTGTTTTCCATCCTTTGACTTTCAGTCTATGAATTTCCTTTTGAGTTAAATGTGTTTCTTGTATACAGCATATTGTTGGATTTTGTTTCTTGATCCTCTCTGCCAGTCTGCTTCTTCTGATTGGTGATTGGCCATTTACATTAATGGTTATAACTGATATGTATTGACTTACCTTTTTCATGTTATTTCCTACTGTTGGTTTTCTACCCTTCCCCTCTATTCAATTGCTTGTTCTGCTTGGTGGTTCCTTTCTATTGTTGTTCTTGAAATTTTGGTCATTTTTATCTTTTTCTAGAATATCTTTCTGTACTCTTTGTAGGGTTGGTTTGGTGATCATGAATTTCTTCAGTTGTTCTTTGTCATGGAAGTATTTTATTTCTCCAATAATTTTGAAGGATAGTTTTGCAGGGTACATCAGTCAGGGTTGGAAGGTGTTTTCTTTCAGGACCTGAAATACTTCGCTCCAAGCTCTTCTTGACTTGATGGTTTGTGCTGACAAGTCGGCCGTGATTCTGATGGGCTTTCTTTTATAGGTGATCTGTTTCTTTTCTGTAACAGCCTTTAATATTGTATTCTTTTGCTGAATTTATGGGATCTTTATTATTATATAATAATAATAAATATAATCCAGGGTGTGGATTTATTTTGGTTATGGCTAATTGGAGTTGTTTCTTTACTTCAGTTGCTATTATTTCAGAAATTTCAGGTGTGTGACTTTCAAGCTCTTCTATGTTGATGTCTCCTGGACTTGTTTTGGGTGGGATGGAGGTCTGAGATTGCATTTTGCTCCTTTGTTTTATCATTTTCAAAGATCTCTAGGTTCCCTGGGGCTCAGTACTGCTCCTGCGATGGTAGAGGGTGGGGTGAGAGTTGCTCCCTTCCCAGGAAGCTCACTGAAGTCCCCAAGTTTCCCAGGGACTCAACATCCCTCGCATGACAGTGGGGGTGGGACAGTATTCAGTCTCTCTCCTACTGGGCAGGTCACTAAAGGTCCTGAGTTTTCCTAAGGCTCAGTGTCTCTCCCACAATGGTGTGGGGGCAGGGTGAGGCTCACCAAGCCTGCAGAAGCTGTCTGGGGCTCAGTGTCTCTCCCACAACCAGAGGCAGAAGAATTTTGATAAATTGTCTTGTCAAAAATTTTTGTTCAGAATGATGGTCAAGTCATCTGGGAAACCTTGGAGTACAGCAGGAGAAATGGGGTGCCCATGCTTTCATACAGTACTCTACTTAGCTTCTTGTTATCTTGGACACTGTCAGAGCACAGCAGAAAAACTGGGAGCATTTGGAGCCCTATGACTGTTCCTGACAATTCTGTTGTGTATTTGAAGAGAACACCCCACTTTCACTGTGTGTTTAGAGGGGGATTCTTGCTTTTGCAAGGGGAATTTCATAAAATCCCTAAATTATAGATTCACACAGCTGAAGGATTTAAGAGAAAAGATAATGCTGATGAGATCGTCATCATACTTGTGTTGAGCACTTTCTGTACATGCCAAGTGCTTACACTCTGTCACCAAATCTCATTGAATATGCAAGAACCCTATGAATTAGGTCCTATGGTTACCCCCATTTTATAGGTAAGGGACCTGAAGGTTCAGTGATTGCATAAATGTCCTGAATCCCATAAATACTAAATGACGTCATTTCTCTATTCAGATTTATATGGGACCAAAGGCCCATATCTTTATAGTATAGTAAGTCCCTCCTTCTTTTTTCTTTCTTTCTTTCTTTTTTTTTTTTGCATACTTTGGAAGTTGAAGTCCTGAGAGGGTGAGACCCATGGCCACTCTTCTTCCTACTCTTAGTCTAGAATCTTTTTCTGCTTTTTATCCTTTTAATTATTTGTTTATTCCTATGCATTTTCTCAAGTATTTCTGGCCTGTGTACATTTTACTAAGGTATTCAATTGATAAATAAATCACTGGGTTTTGAAGCTTTTAGGTAAAAGGACATTTAGTTTTTTTAAATGGAATTATTAATGACTTGATTTTTTTTTTTTAGTAAAGCATTTTCTACCAGAGTACTATAAAGAGCCAGTATCTCCCATGTGCTATTAAAAGTTGAGCCTTGTGACTACTGTCTGACCATGTTTTTTTCTTTTAGAGAAGTCAGAGGGTGCAGTATGTGACCTCATGTAAATATAGCCACCAAGGATCTATCCAGCGTCATTTTTAGTTCTTTAATTTTGGTGAGCCCACATTTTAAAAACAGATTGAATTTGTCTGATTTGTTTCAGAAGTATATATTAGAAAGCATTCACAGTCAAGTGGGAGTTCAGATGCAGAGCAGAGCTAGAGAATCTTCACAGAGAGTCTCTTCAGGGGGTAAGCATTTCTCCTAGAAACTTTGGTTATTGTATTTTCAGAAACATTATCTCATTGTTTTCATTGTTATTAAGAATATAGTAATTGATATATATGTATTCTTTGTGACAGTTGATTAACATATTACTAAAATGGTTTTTTTCTAAAACATTTTTAAGAGAGAAAGAAGATCCACTGGCAAGTTCTAGAAGGATTCTCCCATTTTCTTCTTTACCCTTGAAGAGACTTGAAAATTAATGGATAACATTTCACATGAAATTTTTTGAGTGTATTTTCTTCTTATCTGTGAGGCCTTCTGCAGAGAATTAATAAGAGGTTGAATGCATGCATAGATAAAATGGATCATCTTAAAGGATTGCAGTTCCAAAAATATATCAGCAGGACTGGACAGGTTTGACATAATGAGATTTCTATTTTAGCTTGACTTCTGGAACTGAATGCACTATAAACGGAGCTGCGCAAGGTCTGAAGAAGGAAGTTTCTCTTCTAAAACATTCTGGTTGCGTAAAACATTTTTCTCCTTCAGATCATTTTTGAAAAAATATATGTAGTCATCAGTTTCCTGAGGAATGAGCCTACTAGACATTTTATATGAAATGAGATAAGAAGCAATAATCTATATCATACCGAAAAGCAGGCTTAGAGGAACAGACCTGGGCAGCAGGCAGATAAACTGCGGAGTCAGCGCGGGCTGAGATGGCAGAGGCTGCTGGGGTTGCCTCAACTCTGCCTGGAACAGTGAAGAAAAAGAAGAGTCTGTCCATTGAGGAGAAGATCGACATCATAAATGCAGTTGAAAGCGGCAAGAAGAAAGCAGAAATTGCAGCTGAATATGGAATAAAGAAAAATTCATTGTCTTCTATTATGAAAAATAAAGACAAAGTTCTAGAAGCCTTTGAATCTCTGAGATTTGATCCAAAAAGAAAAAGACTGAGAACCGCTTTTTATACAGATCTGGAAGAGGCTTTAATGCGGTGGTATCGAATTGCTCAGTGTCTAAATGTACCAGTTAATGGTCCAATGTTGCGTCTAAAAGCTAATGATTTTGCCCAGAAACTGGGACATAATGATTTTAAGTGCAGTAATGGTTGGCTGGATCGTTTTAAATCTAGATACGGCTTAGTATTCAGAGCTCAACCTGCAGAAGCCTCAGGTATACCAGTAGATCCTTCAACTGTGTGGTCTCAAAATGTGCTTCCTTATTATTTAAATGATTATCCTCCTAAAAATGTTTTTAATATAAAAGAGACGGCACTGCTTTATAGAATGTTACCTACAAATACATTTGCATTTAAAGGAGAAACATGTTCAATTGGAAAGTTATGCAAAAACAGGATAACTTTGGTTGTTGGTGCAAACATGGACGGCTCAGAGAAACTTCCCTTGCTTATCATTGGAAAAAACAGAAACCCACATTGTTTCAAAGGTATAAAATCATTGCCTGTGTATTATGAAGCTAACAAGATGGCATGGATGACCTCGGATATATTTGAACAATGGATGCAGAAGCTTGATGAAAAATTTCAAGCCCAGCAACGAAGAGTAGTGATTTTTGTTGATTCTTTTCCTGCACATCCAGAGGTCAAGAACCTAAAATCCATTGAATTAGCATTCTTTCCATCATTTTTATCCCCCAAATTTATAGCTATGAAACAAGGTGTTATTAAAAGCCTTAAAATCAAGTATCGACACTGTCTCATCAAGAAATTTTTAAACTCTGTGGAAAGTAGCACAGAATTTGCCTTTTCACTGCTAGATGCAGTTGACACGTTGCATCTCTGTTGGAGGACCGTAACCACAGAGACTATTGTTAGAAGCTATGAAGAAGCAGGATTCAAATCTCAAAAGGAAGAACATGACCCAACAGATGGACAGAGTGATCTGGTTGCGCAGCCTGATGTGGCTGCCCACACTCTGGGGACAGGAGAGGAGTTTCTGGAAGGTTTGTGCATAGAGGAATACGCCGCCCTGGACGAAGACCTGGAAACCTGTGAGGCAGCAGCAGATGATAGCTCAGAAGGTGCAGAGGAAAGCAAACCAGATGAGGCTGGATTTTACACTTCCGATGAGGAGGAGGAGGAGGGAGCTGTAGAAACCGCACTGCCTTTACCATCAAAAGATGAAGCAGTGGTTGCTTTAGACACTCTTAAAAAATTTCTTAGAAGTCAGGATATGAATGATGAACTTCAAAATTCCTTGGCAGACCTTGAAAATTTTATGAACTCTTTATCACCTAAATAATTATTTATTATACAACATCTGAAGAGTAGTTGCCTTTCCTGATGTATTTTATTATATAAGGTATGTAAAGGAGAAATACCACCTAAAGATTAAAAAAATGAAAAGTTAGTAATCTTTGGTTTCATTGCAAAAGCCTTTGGTCAGAATAGCAAAGGTCTCTGGTAAATAGTGATTAAGTATAATTAAGCAACTTCTATTGCAAGGTTTGGGGGAGCAGGAAATGTATTTCGGAAGCCTTGTCCTTGACACATGTGTCAAATGTAAAAAAGAGCTCTTCAACTCTCTGCTTCACACACATTTGAATTGTGACTGCTCTGTGTTTTTTAAAGTTCAAATCGTGTTCTAGAATACTTTATCTACCTAGTGTCTAAGAAACAAAATATCAATAGCTTAAGTATTTATTTTTATAAAGATATATATATGTCATATGTATTCTGACTAGACTTTTAAGTATCAAGTACCAAAGTAGTTTTAAATTATTTTTCTTATAACTCAACCTCCTAAAAACAAACTATGAAAGGTTACTAAAACTAGGCACAGTAGTACACTGAAAATAAATTCTGACCTAAGTAAATACCAAAATGATTAAAAATATATATCTTATTATTTTGAAGTTATTTTTATAAAAGGTCAAATTAAAGATTATGACTGTATAAGGTTTTTTTTAATCTGTAGCCAAAAGATATGGGTCCTTCTTATATATATGTGTGTTAAATATATGTCTGTGTGTTTAATAGAAAAATGCTTTCCTGCAACATTTATTAAACTTGTGATATTTATATTTTAATAAGATTATTCTTAGAAGGTTGATGTAAAGATACATGTACAATGTACTATAAAAAAGAAAATATATGATGCTTAGATATTTTCTAATTTTAACATCTTAGAGTTTTAATCGATAATAATTTTCTTGATTTATTGAATTTTATTTTCAGGAAAAACAAAATGTCCTGTCAGCATATTATGATGCATTTGATCTCCTCTCTCTCAAATTTAATGGGTGACTTTTTGGATTAGAATTCTGCTTAAGGAAGTTTTATCTATGGAATGCTTTTTTTAAAAACTGTGTGAAATTATTTAACCTCTTTAAAATAGTGTTTAGGGCCAGGGATATAGCTCAACAGCATAAGTGCCTGCCTAGCAAGCACAAGGTCCTGAGCTTGATTCCTGGTACCAAAAAAAAAAAAAAATTCATAAAATGGTGTTTATATAGTAAAAAATTATAACAGTGCACCAGACTTGTCCCCTGTTAAATTTTAAATACTATCCTTACTTATTACAGCTAATTAGTGTCCAGCTTGGAAAGTATTTTATGAAAATATAAAATATATAGGTAATTTTTATTATGATTTACTAATTTGCAAACAGATGACATTCATTTGGAAGAAAATAGTTACAGAAAGCATTTTTATTTTCCGCTGTTGATTTACTCTGCTTTTGAGATTTACTAATAGTAAGACTTTTGTAATTATATTAAGGGAGTTTCTTGTGAAGTGAAACATAGATTAGTGAAATGAAAAGCATTTTTTTTTATTTATTTATTTTTGTTTTGTTTTGTTTTGTTTCCGGTACTGGGAATCAAACTCAGGACCTTGCACTTGCCAGGCAGGTGCTGTGCCGCTGAGCTAAATCCCCAGCCTCATGAAAAGCATTTTTTATGATTTGATTTAGAATTTTAATTTGGTAGAATCATGGTCCTAAAGGAGCTCTTAAGAATCTCACCTGTAACTACAATACCTCACGAATTATGAGCCTTTGATGATTTTTTTTCTCTCTTTCTGCATGCAGTGCTCTTTTATTTGATTATTCCAGATATTCCATAATATAAGAGTTATCTCCATATCTACAAATGAGGAAGTTAAGACTTGGAAGGATTAAATGATTTAGTCAAAATCTCAGAGTCAGAACTAAAATGCAGTAGTTCCCCACCGTGCGGTCCTGCATTCCCCTACGTACCACAGCGTTTCTCACTACACTCAATAAAAGAAAATTCTGCTCTGTTCCTTTGAAGATATAGTGGATCCCCTCAAGATCTGCCCTGTGCAGTTACTAAGAAAATACTGGGATACCTTCTGATTTGGTCATTGTAACCACACTCGTAGAGACTCCATTATAGTTCTGTTGAAACTATTTAAAATAACCTTAATAGTATTGAAAGAACACATTCTTTTTTCCTCCAAATGACATGATCAATTTCTTACTGTGAAACCTCTGAGCCATAATAGAATTAGACAAAATTACATAAAATTTGAATTAAAAAAATGCCTGGAGATTTAAATTCAAAGATCAGCTTTAAGTTGTTCATGTTGTGCACTTTCCTGTGTGGTTTGTAAGACATATAGATGTAAACAATTGTTGGAACAAGAATTTTAGGACATAAACAATCACTGCTGCATACCTCGTAATTTATCTTCTCTATACACCGTCAATACAAAGTCAGAAATGTCATTTGACTTTTCAGAAAAATAACTTGACTGATAGTTTGCCTGTTTTTAAATTAAATGTGCCATTATCTTCATTTTTACCGCTGTATAAAGTTCTGTTTCAACAGTGTTTTTGCTTCTTTCTACTTTGTCGAGAACGAGTCTTATATCAAATTGAGGGGATTGTTTCACAGCCTGTGTCCAAGGACCTGCCAGTGAAAGTTTTGGTTCAGGATAAAATAGGACAGTGAGTAAATCTAGGCCTGTGGGTCTCCCGTTGTCTGCCTGGCTTCTCATTTAGCCCAAATCTCAAACCTTCCTCGGACTGTATTCAAGGCAGAGGGGAAGAGAAGGTAAGGGATCCTGGAAGCAGACGCTGCAGATGGTAAGAGAAGCCCCTTTGGTGGCCCAGTGTAGGCCTCCAGCTCGGTGGGCACTGCTGGAGAGAGGTTTGCCCCTCAGGAGAGCAGCACATCATCCAGAAGCTTCCTAACCCAGTGCTGGGCAGAATGTCTGAGGCATCAGGAGCTCCTTGAGCTAAATACAGCGTGGCAGAGTCAGCCAGGAAGTTACATCAGCTGCTAAAAGAAGATCCCACCACCTGAAAGCTTAGGTTGGGGGCCATGGTGTTTATGTAAGTTTTCACAAAAGGTTTCATTCTATTCCGTTAAGTCTAGCTCTGATTCTGTACTTCCTTATTGGGAGGCATCCACTTGTCTAAATCTCAGTTTCCTCCATTCATAAAATGAGACAAATACTTCATTTGTATTTATTTTGAGGATTCAAGAAAATTTGGCGTTTGAACGCATTTAGCAAACTGAAGTTTTCCACAACTACCAGGAATGACTAGAAAGGTCACTACTTCCTGTTATGACTTCAGAATATACCCAAGTATTACATCATAGTCGCTAAATATCAATAATTTGTTTTGGATGTTGAAGATTGAAGCCAGAGCCTCATAAAAATGCTCTGCCACTGTGCCCATAGCCCTAGCAATAATTTTATTGACATCCTTCTGTGCAGTAAAATAGTGAAGCTATGTGCAATTTACCTGCAGAGTTCAAAGTTCCATTTTGGATGAAGAAATGGGGACTCTAAACCTTTATTTTTCCTGAACCAATCCTTGTGCAAAGCTGTACTAGAAAAAAGTGCTCATCACAAAGTAGCCCTTTCTGTTGCCTCTTTAGCTGATTCAGACCCTTTCTGTTTTGGTTGCTGTCATTAACTTGTGAAACCTGGTAACCCGGAGTCGGAGGGCACATTGAGTAATAAATGTATTACTGTGATGGTCTATCCAGACTGCCATAACACAACACTAAAGACAGAGCGGCCTGAGCAGCAGAAATGTACTTGCTCACCTTTCTGGAGGGTTAGGGTACCAGCGTCACTGTTATCAGTGAGGGCCATCCCTTGGGTCGCAGACCTCACTCTGCTTAGTGACCTTTTTATGAGTGTGGAGAAAGAATAGTCTCTCAGATATCTCTTCTCGGGAAGGTAAGAATGCCACTATGGGAACCCCAAATAACCCAATTATGTGTCTCCTGACTTCCAAATCTGATCACACTGGGGTTTAGGGGTTCAATATATGAGTTGGTGTGGGGAGGGGTGTGCACACATCAAGTCCAACAGCTCCCTAATATGAGGGAAGGTGTTCACATATTTATTTAGTTTTGCAGTTGCTAAAAACTAAAGGGGAATGCATATTTGAGAACTTGTTCTGCACATATAACTGTCAGCAGGAATCTCAAGGCTTAGGAAACATACCCCTTGGAAAAAAGGGGACATTTCTTTCATGTCCTTGAATAAATGAGAGGGCTCCGCATTGAAATATGTTACTTTCCCCTAAACTAATCCCAATCAAAATCCCAATGCAGTTTTTGTTAAAAATTTTGCAACATAATTCTGATTTTCATGTAGAAAAATAAATGTGTATCAGTATCAGAGAAAAGTTTGAAAATCATTTTTTTGGGGGGGCGGTTTCCGGTACCAGGAATCCAACTCACGACCTCGGGCTTGCCAGGCAGGTGCTGTGCTGCTGAGCTAAATCCCCAGCCGAAGTTTGAAAATCATAATCGGTATTTGTCCTACTCAAAGTTGAAACAATAGTGCAGGCAGGAGAATTATAGCTGCCACGTTTTAAAAATTAGCAATTTGCAATTACTAAGTGCCAAATGTTGTTCTAAGTGTCTTTGCATATTACCTTTTACAATATTCAGAATCTGGTTCCTGACAATTATGCTCATGGTAATGATGAGAAAAGTTAAGAATGTGTGTACAGCTAATATGTAACAGAACTAAGATTCAAACCCAGAAAAATCTGACTTAATTTGTATACATGGTATAAATTTATCCTGACAAAAAAAGACATTAAGGGTATGTATTGAATTGTATACAGTCCTATAGTACCAGATCCCGAATCCTAGCAGTGTATGTTTCAGTTAAAATTTCTGAGATTTGAACTGGTGAAATATAGCTCAGAAGTAGGGGACTTTCTTAACACACAGGAGGCCCCAGGTTCAATCCCCAGCACTGGAAAAACATTAACATATGCATCTATTCTATATTATATTACATACCCAGGGAGTGCTAGGACAGCATCCCATAATCAAAATAATTTTTGAGTGAAGCATGAAAAACTCACAAAAGTCAAATATATGAAGGTTATAAATGGTTTAATAGCTTCAT